TACATCAGTACAGACGCTCAGTTCAACTTCAACTTTTTTTCTAGTATCTGTATTTCTACATAAATACAGAATGTCTGTACTTTTGCCACCTGTGGTTGCCTGTACTTTATTTTTTTTCCAGCAGTGTACAGTCTTAAAGTACACTGAATGTTTACCCTTCACGATACGTATAATATCAGTTAGACCAGGGGTCTGCAACCTTTAACATCCAAAGAGCCATTTGGATCCGGGTTCCACGCAAAAGAAAACACTGGGAGCAGCAAATACTTTTTGACATTTAAAATGAAGATAACACTGTATATATTGGTTTTTACCTTTATGCTTTGTGTGAACAACTAAGGTGTGTTGCTTATGAAATCAATGAAGCGCCTTTGGGCTTTTTTATTTTACCTGGTTAATGTGTGTGGCGGGGCGTGGTCTGCAGCACCGCTGCAGGGGAGGCAGACACACCTGCAATCACTCCTCGCTGTCTTTACGTCTGTACTATCTATGCTGTTGTGTTGGTATGTGTCAGGCTGTGAGCTGCAAAGACTTTTTATACAGTTAAATCGAGGTGTTGGATATATCTGTGAATCCAGGTACGTTTACTTTTTACTTTACTTTCCTACAAGTGAACACGTACAAAGTAACTCTGCCAAAAATAATAATAATAATAATGTAAATAAAATTAAAAAATAAAATGTACTCCTGACTCCTCATTAAATTTCTACATAAAAGAGTTGTCACTCACCTACTCTGTGACTTATATAGTAACAAATTTTATCTGTGGAAAAAATGTAGAAAATGTAAAATGAATTAATAGGATTAAATTATATAAATTTTAATTCTAATAATATACTCACCTTGAATCGGTTAAGTAGAAAACGAATAAAATGCTCCACTTTAAAAGATAGATTACCTCATTTTTCTTTTCTTGTATTATTATTTAGTTTACAGCAGTTAGTAGGTATTTCATCCTGTTCTTCATGTAGTGGAAACAACACTTGTGATACTGTAGTTTTTGTAGTTTGGGGCCCTCTGGAGATAAGTCCAATTTAAATAATGACCCTTCACAATCCTTCGGTGAATTTTCACATTTTATGCACTATAAATACTGAGTGTGGTTCAACTGGCAACCATGTATGAATTTT